GGGGTATTCCTCCTCATATTAGAGCAGTCAGTGCAGCTGTGGGATCAGACAGAACTGTGATGGTCAGTGTTTCCAAGTTTGCCTACCTCTGCTGTGGACTGAGTGTTGTCTTGACCTAGCTGCTTGCTTCAGTTTTCACATCTGTAAAATGGGACTAGTAGAAGCTGGCTGCATTGGTGTGTGTATGGTAGTGGGGGGTAAAACTCTTGGCAGAGAAGCTGCTGTACATTGTGGGCAGGGGTGCTTACTAAAAGTGCCTCCAGGAAAGGGACCAGGTTCGCTGTCAGGAAAATATGACCCAAGCCCCTCTGCTAGTGAGCCTCTTGGTTCAATTGTTAGCTTACATTCAGGTGGGCCGCTGTGTTCATCTGAAGCAGCAGAACAAAACAGTAGAACAAAATTAGAAGAAGTGTCCATGCTATTATGAGACTTTAAAAAAAATGTATATAGCAGACTTAGCAAGAAGGATAACCAAACTATTTGATGGAAATGTTACATTTCCTAGCGGCTGGACCCAAGGATGCAGGGAATAAGTCTATGCTGCTACAGGGAATTTACAGCTGTTTCTGTAGTATATATTTATTTCAAAGCTATGCATTATGTTAAAGTGTATCCTTTTGTTCATATTGTTATAGAAGAGGAAGTTCTTAATAGACGAAGTTGAGTTAGTAGTTTGCAGTATACGGTGTGGAGCTAGGCTGTAATAGGAATGTATCCAGGGGATGCCACTGAAAATGTGCATGTTTACATTTTGCACAGTTGTCATGGATAGGGCAAACTCACTTTTGTGAATCATGAATGGAAGAGCTGTCATAGAGCTTAAAAAGAAATCATTGTTGATTATGTACACTGTCTGAATGACCATGTTTTATTTAGTTGGCACCAATAAATATACATTTCATCCAGTTATTAAAGTTTAGTTTCCATTTATATTGTTTGCTTAGGTTCCAGGGACAGACTAAGCAGTAGTGCTGCATTTTTTCATGAATAGCCTTGATATGCTAAAGATGCACAATATGATAAGTCAGTTACTTAAAATAAACTGGGGAGATGATGGTTCCTTGCACCTTTCCCCCCCTGCTGCTGTGTGTAGTGACGCTCAAGCATCTTATGTGGATAGAATCTCCTCACATTATGGGAGATGTGTCTGTGTCCTCATGTATCTGGTGGCAAAAGATATCTGTGACTTCCTTTCAGGTGTGCACCCCACCCCTCCATTGCCTGAGCATTGAGAGCCACCACCATATGGTGGTTAGAGTGTTGGACTAGGATCTGGGGGACTTGGATTTGAGTCCCCACTCCGCCATGGAAGCTTGCTGGGTGACCTTGGGCCGGTCGCCCACTCTCTAGCCTAACCTACCTTACACAGTTGTTGTGAGGATAAAATGGAGGAGAGGATAACCATGGAGGAGAGGAGAAAAGGATGTAAGTTTCTTCAAGGCAGGTATAAATGAAGTAAATAAAGTACTCTTTGAGAAGGAACCTTGCCCTGGAAGACTTTTCAACTCAGTGGAGATAAGGGAAAACTATTGCTTTGTCTTGAGGCTGAGAGGAACATAGCCTCAGGAAATGAAATCAGATCGTATGACATGTGGGAGATGACCACATCTGAAGGGAGGGAGGAAGACTGCGTAAAGTGATTGTGTGGTTTTGTCCTCATTAGTTATGCTTTTGCTTGTAACTAGTACAGGCATTTCATGTGTAGCTTATTCTTGATAATCTTCAGGAATAGAGTTTTGTGGTTGCCCTTAAAACGTTGTATTGCTTTTAACTTAAACTAAAAGCCTGGAGCCAAACGGTACACTAGTTAGAGTTAAAATTCAGTCCAATCCCCCCATCTTCTGCTGTGTCTTGATCCTCATTTATTCTCTTATAAGTTGCTGCATAAATAGACGAAGCCACAGCTGGCAGAATTTCCTTTTCAGGATTTTGACAGTAGGCTTTGCAGCTCTGTGTGCCCTCGAGTCTCTCCCTTGCTAGCCCACTTGGTTCTGAGCAGTGATGCATAGCTCCTCCTCTCTCTGAATGCTCTATATGTAGTCTTGCCCCAGACCTATCCTTTCTTCAGTTCAGTGTCTCCATCACCTATTTATTGGGGGAGGGAACAGAGAAATATGTCACTTTTGGTATTCAATGTCCTGATTTTGTTTCATATAATATGATGGTAATAGAGTTACAAAACAGGACCCAAATTTTCTAACACCATCTAGAGGCCAGTGTAGGCCATGTCAAATCTATGTAGATAAAATAATTGTGTGGCCATGTTGATAAATCAAGATAGGTAAGGATCAGATTAACCAAATTTTTGTTGTATGTTGAGTTTACACTAAGGAGGGTTTCTGTCCAGAAATTTACTGTGTATTCTGAACTAGGGGGTCCCCTCAGTGCAATCATGGACAGGTGAGCTAAAAATATCAAGTGAATGATACAAATTTGATCATATTGTATATCCAGGAGCAGAATTTAGCAACTTTAAACATGTCAAACACTTGGATGGCACTGGAATGAAAATACATAAAGCAGATAAATGTGTTGGTCATTAAGTAGTTGTTCACTTCTGGTTTTACTGAAGGTAAAAATAGTTAATGTTAAACTTGTTCAGAAATCTAGGCCTTGGAATCCTACAGAGGATTTTCATGGACAGAAAGGGGGGATTTTTTTGCCAGTTCTGTTGCAGATCTGACTTTCCTTCATTCTGTATGTGGGGATTTCCTGTCCCCGGCAAAGGCCAGGTTAAACTGCACCTTCTCTAGTCTGGCTGCTGCCAGGACCCTTAAAGTTGTTACATGCCCCCAGTCTGGTTCTAGAAACAAGTTGAAAGCCCTAAAACTCCAATAATCAGTTGGTCATCTACCATAGCTGCGAAAATATATATTCATAACTGTTTAATCATGGAAAGGACAAGCTGCCATATCAATGCCATTCATTTATGTAATCTCTGCCAGTGTGAAGATATACAAAGCAGCCGAATACACTTTCAGAATCTTCAGTCTCTCCTTGGTTCCCAGTGCAAATTATGCTCAGAGCCTGCAGTAGTCTACTCTGAGTAACTACAAAAGTGTAACTTTTCCTGGTAATAGATGTGTTACCGCTACTGTACTCCATCTTATTGCTAAATGTACACTGAGAGCCCTGGCAGCAGCATCTGGGCAAACAGTGGCCTAGCAACCATGTCTGAATTTATGTCAGTGGCTGACTCCATAATCTACTAAACTTGTCTATGCTTGTATGGCGGTTAAAGTCATTGAATAATGTGGATAGAGGTGTGAAGACTTTGGGGGAAAAATGGAAAAATTCAGGGGGAAGGGGTGTGTGTGTGTGTGTGTGTGTGTGTGTGTGATATATATTGAGTGAAATGCTTTTAAAGACAAGGTGGGCATGCTGTAGATGTATACAGCTCTTAAATCCAAGATGCATTTCTGTACTTAGAAGGATACCTAATTTTCATAAGGGGAGCATGCAGGGTTTTTATTGCTTCTCAACAGTTGCATGCCTTCTGTTGTCCTTTTGACCTAATGTGGTTGACTTTTTCATCTCTCCTTCAAACCGGTAACACATTTACCCACAGACTGGGTGTCAAGGAGTCCAAAGCTGAAACCCTTGGGTCCCCAGGGCTGTTGCACACAAGTAACCAAACCTTTCTTTAATTTAAAAAAAATTATATGAAGTTTTATTTAATTGCTGTCAAAACAGAATATTTAATCTACAGGTAACACAATGCTCTAAAATCATACAGCAGACAAACAAGAAAACTAGCCTAATTATCGAACACATTTTCAAAACCTGCGTTAGATAGCACAGACCTTAAGCCCAAGAAAGTCAAAGGCCATAACTCATGCATGCTCTACATTGCTGTCTATTACAATAGAATGATATCTCAGTCCATCAGAATCCAAGCTAGCCTTCTTTCTCCAGGCTCTTAGCTCAATTATAGTTTTTTGGCCAAGCAGCATCAGGTGATGATGACACCCAATCAGGACACATTCTTGCTGGAACCCTCTAGAAAATTACCTCTTCACTCCTGATTCTCCCCTTCCCATCCCATGGACTGCAGGTTCTCATGAGAATCTAATGACTACATTTCCAGTTCTGGCCTTGAAGAGGATAAGGGCTGTGTAGGCCAAGAAGCCAATTAGTAACACCTGCAGGATGGAACAGGCCTGTTACCATTCACATTAACCCTTGAGGAGGGGCCCGGGTGGTTTGCCTCATACTGGTTAAAAAGTAGCTTACTGCCCTATCTTGCAGGAGGGATGAAATAGTTCAGAAGGAGATGGGGCATTGCAAACTTCGCTCTCTCTAATGAGGTAGCAAAACTTAAGGTATATGTGCTAAGACAGCATAGGGTGCATCAGCTTGCAGTTTTCTCTCAGGTATTGCGTATATTGACAATTCTGCTTGTACAAAACTAAGGTGTTTATAACTTTAAAATTCCATAACTATGTTAAATTTTGCAATTTTATATGCCAAGTAAGTTGCATTTATTTCAGTTTTACCAAAAAAAATTTTTTTGGGGGGGCGTTGTTGTTGAAGAAGAATGCTTTTTTCCCTATGGTTTCAAAATTTCCAGAAATCTTACTTCTCTAAATGTGGCCAAGGAGTCTGACAAAACTGTTCAGCTGAATGTGTATTGGTTTCTCTTCTGGAGTCTAATGCAAAGACTTAGAAGAACCATCACTTGTTAGTTCCCCAATCATTTTCAGGGGAAGCAAAATCTCTAGTTAGATCCATTATGACTTCTCAAACTCTTGTACTTTTCACTGAGAGCAGCATAATCTGCCATTGCAGTCCAGCTGGGAGGAAGAAATAACATAGGAACTTAAGCATGTGGTAGTATGGTGGCAACAGCTATTACTTGGCTTCAGGAAAGGCTGCTTGGTGAAACATAGGTTTGCCAGCTTAAGGTTGGGAAATACCTGGAGATTGGGGTGGGGGTTGTTAAGTTGTTAGGAAACTGATGGTTTCTACATGGTTTTTTAATACATTTTCTTTTGTCCTAGAATCATCACATTGCCCACAATGGAGCCTTGTATAAACGACCCTTCAATGAAGCTTTTGAGGAAACTCCAATGCTGGTTGCGGTGCTGACTTATGTAGGCTATGGTGTCCTCACCCTTTTTGGATATCTTCGAGACTTTTTGCGGTACTGGAAAATTGAGACATGTCATAATACAACAGACAGAGAAGAACAGTTGGTAATTGTTTCGAAATACATACTTGAGGGTATGGGGTTGGAGATTAACCAGCTCACAGTAAAGGAGACCAAATTTGTTAGTAATCAGCTAGATATCTATTCACAGGATAGGAGCTATTGTTAACTCATGCAAGTAAACAACTTGGTTAGAGATGTGAAGACCTGGGTTAAAAAACCTGGAAAAATTCAGGGGTGGGAACCTTTTCCTGATAACTTTTTTCCGATTGTCCAGTGGAAAAAAATGGATATTCTATAGGGTTGCCAGGTCTGGGTTGGAAAATGCCTGGAGACTTTGGGGGTGGATCCAGGTGAGAATGATGTTTGGGGAGGGGAGGGACCTCAGCATGGTACAATTCCATAGAGTCCACCATTTAAAGCAGCCATTTTCTCCAGGGGAGCTGATCTCTATCAGCTGGAGATCAGTTATAAAAAGCGGGAGATCTCCAGACCCCACCTGGAGGCTGGCAACTCTTAACATTTTATGGGGCACTGAAAAAAAGACTTCAGTAAAACAGTGAGTGGAATGTTTTTTACCCAGAATGTGTAGGAAGAAGTTTTCATGGAAGGCTGTTTACAGGGTTAGATGATAATATCTGCATACTGTAGGCATCGCAACATCTATTATTTAGATGTGGCTAGTTTTGTCCACATTAATTTGCTTTAGTGTATATGATGATACAGTATTGAAGAGTTTGGTCTTTTCCATATTAAAGCTTAACTGGATATCCCAATAGGCTGTTAACCCTGTTATGAATTAATGAAACTGTTTCTGTCCAAATAACCCATTTTCTTTTCTTCAGTACAAAATTTATAGTTTCTGTTTTCGATCTTGAATTTCCCCCCTACCTCTCAGATGTCAAAAACTAAAATACACATGCTAAGGATGCTGCTTTCTGTCTTTAGTATTGGGTATATTTATAAATTTTTTTATAGATGACTAAGATTTATAAATTAAATTTTTTCTAAATATAGAAAATAGTACAGCTTTATATGTTAATTAAGGGGTTTTCTGCACATGCAACTTATTACTGCTTTTCTTGGCACTTCTACTAACAGTGGAATCGCATTGAGCACAAGGGTTCCACACGTTTTCACTCCCTTATTTTTCCAGTTGCCATGTTGGTCTATTTTCTTACAGACGTGCCTTTAAAAAAAGATTTTTGAGCTAGGGTGCTGTTATCACCAGTGGCATCATAGTGCCAACATCCCTTTTTTTGTTTTGTTTTGTTGCACATGCACCATATCAGTATATTGACATACTGCTAGAAGAGGGGTTAGGCATGCACATATCTGAGAATCACCATATTTTTCCTGTGGAAAAAGGCCTCTCCTTCAAAAGTTCACCCTAGTATTTGGACGTTTGGGGCTGCAAACTGGTATTAAAATGTTTTCCCAAACAGAAGGTAGTCAATTGCTTCCCCATCTAGTCAGCTGTTTTCAAGCAGCCAGTACTTAATGTTTAGTCATGTAAATGGTGCTAATGGGCCGAGAACAATGAAGAGGGGCTGTTCTGTGACACTCTCATCAGAACAGAAAGTGAAAACAAATACCCCCAAACCCATACAAATCAAATTAGGTTTGCCAGGTCCGATTGTCCTGGCAGTGGGTGGGAGGGAGCTGTCTGGGACTGTGGGGGGCAGGGCGACATTGCTGCATTCCACAATTTCTCATGGAAGTGACTTCATCATGCTGGGGACAGTGTGCATAGACACTCTTAGCATTTTGGCTATGGTTACCATAGAGCTTTTTGGCCAAAAAGCTAGAGTGCCAACGTGTGACGTCCCCGATGTGATGATATCACTTCTGTGCGATGTCACCACATCAATGTGCAAGAGGCATCTTTGAGTGGCTGGCGACAGATTGGACCCCTGAAGATTGGGGGATGCCCTGGCCAGACCAGGGTCTGGCACCCCATATCAAATTCCCATGAATAATAATAATAGTAATAGATTGGATTTATACCCCGCCCTTCACTCAGAGACTCAGAGCAGCTTACAACCTCCTTTCCCTTCCCCTCCCCACAACAGACACCCTGTGAGGTAGGTGGGGCTGAGAGAAATTTTTTAAGAGCTGCCCTTTTAAGGACAGCTCTGACAGAACTATGGCTTGCCCAAGGTCATCCAGCAGCTACATGTGGAGGAGTGGGGAATCAGACCTGGTTCTCCCAGATTAGAGTCTGCACACTTAACCACTACACCACACTGGGGGGAGGGCTGGACATCAAGGCACAGGTATGTTTAGGGTTGCCAGATCCCAACAACGCGACAGCAGGGGGTGGGAGGGAACTTTCTGGGAGCAGGGTGGAGCATTGCAACATGCCTATGTCACCAGGAAGTGACGTAGGCATGTTGGGGCAAAACTGTAGAAGTGACCTCACACCACCTGACCTCGGGCAAAACTGTATGGTAGAATTAGTTACAAATCATAGGCTGCCCAACGTTCTCAACTTGTCTACGTCACTTCTGGGTTTCATTGCATGTTGCAGTTATTTCCAGATTCTTGGAGATAAGAGGGGGTAATTTGGAGAGGGGAGGAGCGCCTGAAAGCAGAAGACCCCTACTCAGACCAGGGGGTCTGGCAACCCTAATTAGACTTTCCTGCAGACCTTCCCCATGCAAGGAAGAAAATTCCTTCTTTCTGTGGGGGTAATATCAAGAGGGCCAAATTCACTGCCCCAGGAGGTGACAGCAACTACAAACATGGACAGCTCCAAGAGGGAATTAGATAAGCATATGGAGCAGAAGTCCATCAGTGGTTATTAGCCACAAGGTATAGATAGGATGATTTGCTCCTGCTAGTTAGTGTAAGTTTGCCCTGGAAAATTGGAATTTTTCCAGAACAGTTTAAGATGGCTTGTTTAAAGAGAGCAACTTTTTGCAACTGATAAAACTGGTTTCACTTTCGGTGAAAAAAAATTAGCTGGATTCTATGAACGCGAAGGAATTCCACTCACGGTATGGATTTTCCTGCTCTCTCACTTTTCTGGAAGTCCCTCTGCCTACAGAAAAGCTGCTCCTGATGTTTGGGGTGGGGTGGAACCCCTGGGAAGCAGTGTGGAAGGCAGTATCTCAAGAAGTCTGCAGAAATCAGACCCCTCCTTTGTTCAAGCAGAAGTGCCTAGTACACTTGGTCGGATCTGTTACCTGTTATCTGTTTGAGTTCTTTGTTTCAACACTCCTTAACACAAGAGAGTTGTCAGGAAAAAAAGATTAATCTGAGCCACAATTGTAAAGAAATCACAGCTGCTTGCATGTAGCTTTCAGAAAGAAGTGAGATAGGCTTGAAATGACTTTATTGAAAATGTATTCTCTGCTTGCATAAAAAAAAATTGCAAGCTGCCAACAGCTTCTCAGGATAAGAAAGATTATGTTAGGTGTTTAAATGATAAAGTTCTTGGTTTGACTTTTGATATATAGGTATATCTGGCTTATACTGACATATTTCCCCTTGTAGTAACTCAGTGTTAACTAGTCCAGTGTTGGAACTTACCATGTGCTTGCTTATCTAGAAACAGTAGTTGTTGCACAATACTTGAGCAATTGATTGGTAAATGGCTGTACAGGTGCTACAGCTTGTCTCTCGTAGTCATACAGGCCCTTTAAAGATAAAAAAGAGAGAAGCTGAGCTGTGTTTGTAGCTGTCTTTCTCTCACCAGATTCATGTTCTTAAACAACAACAAAAAGCCAGCATAGTCCTAGCTCAGTCAGGCTGTAAGCAAGGCTCTTGGTCTGCCTTGGTGAAAATAAATAAGGTTCATGCTCTCACATGGTGGTGGCATAAATATCTTTGCTGTTGTTTTGTCTTGGGTTCCTTGGGTAACCTAGTTTCAAAAGAAGTGCAGTGTGGAATCAGTTCTTGTACTCAGCGTCCTGCTATGGAAGGAAGTTCGTAAATTCCTTGCTGCCATTTTCCTTGAAACCAATAACTTTTTATAAGTCTATGGGAAATACGTTCAGGGCAATAGGGCTGTCTCTTCTGGTCCCCTTGTCTGCCTTTAATATAGAACAAGTATGGTATACTGGAAAAGGGTATAGGACAGTCAGCTAGTGCAAGGATGGATGATCCCCCCCACCCCCCCTCTCAATTTTGTAACTAGTTATTTTAACAAGCCTATGTACAATTAAGGTTGAAATAATGAGCTTCAGACCCCTAAACTCACTGAGTGGTTTTGTAAATACTCCAGTGTTGCGGACTCAGACACATAAGGTTTTCTGTGGGGACAATGGGGGTATACATGAATGAGATAGCGTATGGATTGGTGGGGGTGGTAGGAAAAACTAGGAGTCACATGGGTATATCAGTTGAAGATTCTAGGTGGAGTGTGCATGGAAGAACTACACTGTCTTAAAGCATTCTATAAGATCTAGGAAGAAAATCTTGCATCAACAATGAGTAGAAAAATAGTTTAAAATATATTTTATTACTGTCTCTAATATAAGGGGTAGGGAGATTTTAGGCATGACCTTTCAATCATTTTTAATGCTCTCTGTTTTTCAGGATTTTGTCCCTTTGTACCAGGATTTTGAGAACTTCTATACTAGGAATCTGTACATGCGCATTAGAGATAGCTGGAACAGACCAATCTGCAGTGTTCCTGGAGCCAGGGTAGACATGATGGAGCGGGTTTCCCATGACTACAACTGGACCTTCAAGTGAGTAAAAGGTTTTCAGAAAGCTTGCAGGCACTTTATCTGTAGAGGACACTGCCAGGAGAGAAGCTGATGATCATAAAATGTTTTTAGACCATAACATTTTAGACAATTTCTGCAGTGCAAAGTTATAATTGCACCAGAACTGCACTAGAATCTTTCTTGCTTTGATTTGCCATCTCATGTTTGCTGTAAAATACCATCCTACTATCAAGATCAATGTCGGTGCTTGCCCTTTTTCTATGTTGCCTTGTCAAAGGTTGCAGCTGGTACATACTTGGATCCTATAGAACAGCTGGAAAAGCATCCAGCTTAGTGATGACTAGCAGTTCAGGCAGGCGTGCCAGAATTACACAGTAAGAACTAGGACCAGACTGTTTTGCACTGATGCTACTGTGTGTGGGATGTAGGAGCAAAAAGTGTCTCATGCCATAGTAAAATGCTCTGTAGTGGAGCACTCCTTCTGTGAGGAAAACAGTGTTGAGGAAGGGAGGAATATATCTCGGAAAGGATTTCTATCTAATCTACTGGCCCAGGATGTGAGGCAGCAGTACAGTATTGGCGAGTCAGGCAGAAATTCAGGTTGCATTTATGTTGTAGCCCAGTCAACCTGCTCTTGTGAAAACCATACTTCAAATGCCCATTACTGGGTCAGTTGGGCCTCCCATGCTTGAGGATTTGTAGCATATGGGTTCTCCTCTCTTATATATGTTCAGAAACGTCTCACTTTGAGAGGCCTCAGTACTACGAGTTTGCTTAAGTCTGTATAGAATATCTTGTAGTATTCCTCTTGAGAATGGCTAAAACAAAGCCAATCAGAATTAAAATCTGCTCATAGTTTTGTTTTTGAGATAGTACGAACCCTCTGCATCTGTAATTTTATTTGGTGTTGGTGTCAGCATGTGAAATATCTTGACTGATCTTGTTTAGTAGGATTACTATTAGATGGCTTTTCTTGGAACTGAACTAAATGAACAGGGTTGGTTCTCACTGTTGCATTGTTATTTAAGAATACCATTGCTTTTAAGATCACTGGCATGTGTGTGTTTAAAGAAAGTAGCTTATCTTTTTGCTGCTGTTTAGAAGAGTTACTGGCTTCCAGATGCACTTCCTTTGTGTGCCTGGAGGATATCCTGCTTTAGGGAGCGACAAGAGGTGGTGGTCATCTATAAACATGGAGGAAAAAAGTCTTAAAATTACCAGGGAGAAATGCCTTCTATACTGTTTTGTAATTCTTAAAAGAGCTTTCATAGAACATCTGCTAATCCATTGTCTTAATTTGCATTTATTTAAGCAAAATATGTGAAATATGTTGAAAGATGCAGGAAAAGTTCACTTAGAGATGAGTCTCGTAACTGTGAGAGAAGCCTTGCTGAATAAGCAAACTGTGATACAGTGAGGAGTATTGGTCTCAGCTGTTTCAGCATGTGAAACTTCTAATGGTTCTCTGAGCTGTGGCCAAAGCCATTCCAGCAATCAACTTGCAATCAGTGGGACTTCCATATTTATTGTACTTAACAGCCACTCCTTCTGTTCCAGGTCACAAGATGGTTTTTATTATGTTTATTACAAAAAATGACATGTGGAAGAAAACTATTTGAACACACATGCAAATTTAAATCAGTTTAGCCTATATCAAAAACTTCCCAAACAACCATATACAAATCATATTCCATTAAACAGTAAAAGGTATTCATTTTTGAATAAACTCTACCTGAATAAGCATTTTTTCCTTAGATGTTTATACATTGAAACTTTATCCATAAGTATATTAAACCAAATTTTTACTAACCAAATGATACTTTTATTTTCAACCAGTATTTTTCTATAAGTAATTTCACTACCACTATTAGATTACTGAACACAATAAGATTACTGAACAACTTTTTTGAAGAATGTCCTAGCAATGTCAACATTGAGCACCATGGCACCTTACAATCCTTAATTTCACTAGTTCTGCATGTACCTTGCCAGAACTTTTTCACATGCAGACAATCCCACCATGTATGCAGGAATGTCTGTCTTGTTTGAAAGCAATGCCAGCATTGAACCTACCATTTCTGTTGTTTTATTGTTACTTTAAAGATTCTTTCTAGAATCTTTAGTTTCTTTTTTTTAACATTTTTTTAATTTCCAAAACTACAAAGAAATAAGGAGGGGGAAACTACAAACTACAGGAGAAAGTAAAGATAACCCCTAAAAACCGAAGAGGTGGTGGTCATATAATGGTTACAATATAGCTTTAAATCAAAAAGAGTTATTTGTTACATTTGAGGTGATTATTAAGTTCGCTTATATGCTTCAAGTCCAGATACACAAGAACAATTATTTAAGAAACCCCCCAGCAAACTTCAGGAAAGCTTAGCATCTCATGTTTTGTCTCTTCTTTCCCTCAATCGATATCCTTGCTTGGGGGCAGCCGCCCCACGTTCCAAGTCCGAGTCTTCTTCAGTAGGTGTTTCATCTTCACTTCCCTTATCCTCATCGTCTTTCCCATTGGTCCAAGTTGTTGCTGCAAGAACATTCTATACAGTAGTTTCAAGCTGTTCGCTTATGCCACATTAATTGAAGTATTCAGTATATCATTATAAATGTTTGATCTGAAATCTCTTGAGCCATATCTAGTTGCCATTTTGTTTTGTAATGGGGCTGTTTATATTTTAGAGCCATAAATACTGAATAAATGTTACCCAGAAAACTTTTTGATTTTGTAAAACATGCCAATTTTGTTCTAAATTAATTAATGGCCTAAAATATCAACTTTAGATGGTTTATTTTAGATGAAATTCTTTATTTTTATTAGTGTACCAAACAAAGGTCTATTATTTCATTTTTGTCAGTTTAGTTAGGTATGTTTATTGGAATAAATTATAAACATAACAAAAGAAAGAAAATAAGTATGTTTTTAGAATTACAAAAACAGGGGTGGAAAATGGTCAGTAAAATGAGTAAAAGTCAGTTTTTTCATCTTGGTCAGTAATTTGTTAGTTTTTTAAAAAATTGGTCAGTAAAGTCAGTATTTCTTTGATTTTTGTGAAAGCAGTTTGTGGGGTTTTTTTTCATTACTGCATTTGGGGGAAACATGATGACTTCCCAGTGAGAAGACAGATTGTTTTTAGTTCAGTTATGAAGTACTTTAAGGACTTTGTTCCTAAGAGTAAAAGTGATTTGGTGAAATCTTCCACAATGTATAGAAACATAATTAACCTCTTAAAACACGAGACAATGAAAGCAGAGGTGATTTTTTTTGCATGAGTGCCCGCTTATTTACAAAGTTCATTGGAGTGTTTCAGAAAGAAGAGCCTTTGGTGCATGTTATGCACAGTGAAGTAAAAACACAAGAGTTTGTAAGAGTTCAGCACAGTTGTCTCTTGAAGCCTTCAGTGATGAGCACTACATACCTGTGAGAGAAGTAATCAATGAAAGTAGAATCTGTGGTGAACTAAAAAAACTTTCTGAAAAGGAACAGCTACTCTTTTAAACAGGAACAAATAAACATTTCATAGCAGCCTGCAAACACCTTTTACTCCACTCATCTTTGGACAAGCCCATCTTCAGATATCTTAAATGTTTAGCTCCAGCACAGAGGGTCAAGGAAGGAACCCACAAGGATATAATGAAAGTAGCAGCAGCACTCCCGATGGATATTCCAGTGGACATGATTGCGGATTAATGGAAACTTCTTAAGACTTGAAGATGAAACTGCCAGTGAAACTTGCCGCATAGATACATACTGGAATCAGTTCTTTGAAAAGACACACCCATCTGGAGATCCAAAATTCCCACTGGTTACCAAGGTGGTGAAAGTAGCATTAACATTATTGAATGGTAGTACGGACACAGAAAGAGGGTTTTCAAAAACTGGATGCATTTTGAGCGAAAGGGCCTGGATGTCAGAGAGAACTTTGAATGCCCACATAATTGTCAAAAAACCCCTTTATATAATGTATATGAAAACGTATACCATGTTAATATCACACAGGAGCTTTTATAGATGGCAAGAGCAGTTCAAGTTCATTACAAGTAATATTGTGATGAACAGTGTGTCATTAAAGAGGAGTAAAACAAAAAAGAAAAGAAAGGGGGGAAAGGCAGAGGAGTTAGAAAGGTTCAAAAAGATAGACAGTGAAAAGGATAGTATACAAGAGAAGGAAGCAAAAAAGCTGAGACAACAGAATGAGAAGAGGATGACTGATCGAACGTTGCTAAATGATGCAACCAAATGTGTAAAGGCGGCTGCTGAGAAAAAGGATATGGCGGGATCCAACACAGCACAGCTCATGCTAGAAGGAGGGGAGAAAGCAATGGAAGAAGACACAAAGAAAAAAATGCTTGCGGATGCAGTGCAGAAACGGAAGAGTTAGTTAATAACTCCTTTTTTCATCAAAAACCCAAAGATAATGTAAAAGCAAAGACAAATCTTACCTTACAGTAATTATATTTTGTTGTCATAACGATTACTTTGTGTGGTTTTTAATGTTTTGCTGTTTTATTATCTACAGTATGATTATTTTTAAAAACAAATCTTGTTTTGCCTTAAATTTTGTACAATAATGAAAACATTCAGTAAAAAGGTGTGCAATCCTTTTCTCTGGATCACATCTGACTATGGCGCTGGCGGAGGCCAGATAATCATTTTTAATGAAGTTTTAGTTTTACTTTTAAAACACTATCTTATCAATAGGTTGACATTAAATTGTTCAGTAATTTGTCATTTTTTTGTCAGTATTTGGTCAGTTTTTTTGGAATTTTGGTCAATAAAATCAGTATTTTTGACCCTCTGACTAGTTTCCACCCCTGCAAAAAGTTAAGTTCCCCATCAGAGGATTTTACCTTACGTTCCCGAATTTTCATAGCAATTAGATGATACCTTTATACTAAACAAGTAATATATTTATTTGTTAAATATGTTAAATATGAAAGTAACAAGTTCTGGTCCAACAGAAGATATAAAACAAGCCTGTCATCGGGATAGCCATGTAAATTTTGCAGAAGAGGACTAATTAAAGAATCCCGCAGTTTTACATAGAAGTCACAATAAAGCAAAACATGGGATACAGATTCCAGATTTCTGACCCTACGTGGACAAAGTTTTTCATGATAAGGAAGTCTGCAAATCTTCCAAACAGAACTGCTGTGGAGAAAGCATTAAATCTTGTGAACATAAAAGCTCAAATAATTGAGGAGATGTTAAATATGAAAAATAAGATGCTAGAACCCCATGATCAGGTTTGATACCAAATTCCAGCGGGGAGCATGTCCTGTTTGCTAAAGAGCAAAGAGTTTGTTTTTCAATATCCAAAAGTCTGTTTCAATGATCTAAAAGCTTGAGATTCTTCTAACATAGAGAATCAAGATGGATACCATCAGTATACTGTATTTTCCTCAAAATTAAACGTGACCAATTAGTTAGGGAGGAATCAGTGTGGTACAGCGCATAGCTAGGGAATTCTGCCCTATAATGGAGGCATAGCCAAAATTAAAGGGTTAGGAGCCAAGCTCTGGTCTCTAAAAGGCTATGCCTTGTTTCCAGACACATGGCCACATAGCGTACTCAGTTTGGGACCCCCAAAATACAGCACAGAAATGTTGCCTGAATTTGTTCAACACATTGGTTGAAAGCAGTAATCCAAATGAGAATCCTGTAAAGCTATTGGGATACTGATTTAGCATTGAAAACACGAATAGCTGCAGGTACTTATTGGCCACCCTTCACATAAAAGTAACGTGCAACAGCAGACATACTGTACTTAGCCAAATTAATTGCTTGTTTCCGCTGTGCTGTCCAACTATGATTATACAAAAAATTTACTCCCAAATATAAAATGCTTTACTTGTTCAGTGTCATTACCTTTAATGCACTAGTTAAAATATCTCCAGGTCCTCAAAAACACCATGATTTTTGAATTCTCAAAATTAATAGATTGGTCTCACAATGGGATACAAATGCAAGTAAAAGACACCACTTAAGTCCCTTCTTAGAGTGAGATAACACTACTGCATCATCTACGTATAGTAATAAGTAGACAGAGTGAGGGCCAAGTACAGGAAAGTGTCCATCCACCACTTGCAGAGTAGGAGCTAGGTCATTCATAAATAAGTTGAATAAATAAGGAGCCAAAACGCGTCCTTGTTTGACTCCCTGATTAGAAGGAATGTTATGTGTTACCCAGTGGATGGTATCAAACTTGACAGCTAGTGGAAGAATGTAATTTTTGTCTTATCTCCTCCCTGATTTTCTAAAAACTATGACTTGTTTAAACCAGCAGCTATCCAGTTTATAATTAATTTATTTTCTCAGTCTATCTAAGTTCTTCATTCAGAGTGGCACAACTAGAGAGAGATCTGATGCCAGCTAGTTTCTAAATTTGTCCTATGTGAAAATCAACACTTTTCTAATTAAGCTTAATTCCAGATCTAGTTATAGTTGTTCAACTTCTCAAGCCATAACCATGATGCAAGAGGTAACGCCAAATTTATTGGCTCTGGCTCTGACCTGGATGGCCCAGGCAACCTGATCTCATCAGATCTCAGAAGCTAAGCAGGGCCAACCCTTGTAAGTATTTGGATGGGAGACCTCCAAAGAATACCAGGGTCGGGAGGCAGAGGTAGGCTATTAAGCCACTTCTCTGAATGTTCTCCATGTCCCAGTAGGAGTCGCCAGAGGTCACCATGACTTCCAGGTACGGGCACACCCACCCACACATGCACGCACGCACACACACAAAATGCAAAAATACCCTCAAAATTTTATTTGCTCTGTTTTTCAAAATACTTCAACTTTCCTTTCCTAAAACCAGCACATAATGGCTGCAGATTTAAAGACATGATAATATCTAAGAGGCTTCATTTTTTTCTGCGAAGCAAACCCCTATATATCTTATACTTAAATGTTGCAAATTTGACCCTAAAATTTGTTTTCTGTTGCTGTGTTTTCCCCTCATCTGCTTAATTGACTCCTAAGAGTACCAAGTTGGATTGTCTTAATAACTCAAAATCTGACCAAACTGCAGAAACTTATTAAATATTAGACAAGGATTTGTAGGGTTTTGTAAAGTAAAAACTCTGCTGTGCCCCATGCTCCAGTTTAAACAGAGGCAACTGAGAGCCTTTTGCTAAGACGCTTGCTTTAGGAGTGCTCTGGTACTTTTTAAAATCCATTCATAAAAGTGTTTTCCAAAATCAAATGCTATCAGTATCTGTTTTGAGAATAACCAAGATAATCCAAACAATGTTTTTTGGCATCTATAAAGTAGAATACTGTAGAGACCTTAGTCCCTTGTACAAGGTTTAGATATCATCTTGTGTTCTACGAAAGTTGTCTCCATTAAAATCCAGTTTGGTCTAAATTAATATATTAATCTGTTGACCTATATATTGAAGTTTATTTAGGCTTTTTGCTAAAATGGCTGTAAACATTTTACAGTCATTGTTTAGTAATGAAATAGCCTTATAAGAAGATGTAGAACTTAAATCTTTACCTTCCTTCGGAATCAAGACTGTATTAGCCTCTGTGACATTGCTTTGGTATGGCTTGAATGGGTCTTGTTATTCTGGTGTGGTGGTAACTAAGTGCTCGTGCGTGTATGCGTGTGCAACCCTGAGGCCTTTTCTATTTTGGTGGCGAAAGACCACACTTAATACAATACCACTGCACTCTATTTAGTCGCATGGATAAATCATGCCACTCTAACCCATCACTATTTGATTATGAACTGGTCTATTAGTGTTTTGTAATTCACTGGATTTTGGCCACCTGTGAAGTAAATAATTGGTGCCGTTTACACCTGCTAGTTTACAGTTTATGGACTTTTACCATGAAGACCTCAATCTGCCCTCTAGATTCCCTTTACCCAGGAATATTTAGTTTGAGAGCTTACAAATCAGTGTGTACCCCTCCAGGCCTCTATACCCAGTCTGCTTCTTCCTGAAGACAGACTATGAAATAGGGTTACCTTTAACCTGCCTGTTAGAATTTCTATATCCTATCTGAGAGAAATTACAGTTAAATGCTGTTTTTCTTCTTTTCAACTCCTTCACTTCTGTCTTAGAGAGTTCTGGGGGCCTTGATTGGTTATTTCTGACTTCTCCATTGCACCAACAGGATGCAAAAAGGATTTGGCTGGTGAGGGTACAGACCTAAACCTGTCCACCACTCTGCTCAGGAACCCACGCCAGTCTTATAAAATGAGTCATACAGTCTCTTCAGATATGGTGCTAAAATTTATTAGAATAATAATTGGATCCTGGAATTCTGTTGATATTCAGTGGTTTTATAACCTCTTATTTCCTCCAACAAGAGAGATTGATCTTTAAAAAGACTATTAACTGAGGGAAGATGATTTTTGAACCCTTGACACTTAAAATTGGTTCACAGTGTATTTTCCAAAAGGAACTGATTTGCATTTGCAGCCTTCAGTAGTAGTTTATATAGCTGCTTTTGTTGAGACTCCATCTTAACATGCTGTGTTAAAATACAGGTACACAGGGAAAGTGATAAAAGATGTAATTAACTTGGGGTCCTACAACTATCTTGGATATGCACAGAACAATGGACCTCTCAGAGAGTCAGCAGCTAAAGTTCTAGCACAGTATGGAGCTGGATCATGCAGCACAAGGCAAGAAATGGGTAAGTTCAAATGGAGGCATGACCTTCTGATAATGAAGTCTAATATCACCCATGCTGGCTTGGATACACCAGAGGATTTCCACAGAATGAAGGGACTTCTGTCAGCAGAGCAGAACTTCGTTGTCTCTCTTTTTCCATTGCAGTCCCAAATGCATGTGTCTTAGAAGTATGTGTCTTAGAAGATGGGAACCCCCAGAAACAGCATGAGGGGGTAGTCAGAGGTCTGCAGCAAGCCCAGGAGTATTTGCTAAAATCATGCCCTTCTTTCTGTTAGAAGAAATTCTCTGGTGGATGTAAGCCATTACATAGCAGTTTTCTTCTTCTTTTCCTGAAGCGTTTACAAAATGCTCATATCTCCCCCAAGACTCATGTTGCTGGGTTTATTTCCAGCTAAAGTATCAAAAGGAGTTGATTTATTCTCATGGCAACGACATGGTTAGAGAGAATGCATGAATGGAGGCCCTTGGGGTCCTTATAATTCAATTCACTCAAATATAGACTATAGCATGCAGAGAAGTTTACTGTCAGTTAGATTTGATTAAGGGCCTCAGAACCAAATTTCTTATTTTACATGTATCAGCTTTGTTCCTAAACAGATTTGGAGGCCCCAGGCCAGCTGCCAGATTGTCATATAAAATTCTTTGCTGTCTGTTTCTGAACATTATGGCCTGTTGTTTTTTAATACTGTAACCAGTAATGTAATTTTGTTTAAATCTCTTCCCTGTTTTGTTTTTCTCCTGTTTTTGTTTGTCAGGTTTTAAACTGAATTCTAGCAAACATTCATGCACATTCTCCATTCAACTTGCATATACTGCTTAACAGTAGAAAGAAACATCTCAGCACACGTTTAGCCAGCAGTACCTCATTAATTTTGACTTTGTTCTCTTATGTGCAGGAAACTTGGACAAACATGAGGAGCTAGAAAGATTAGTGGCTAGATTCCTTGGTGTAGAGTCTGCAATGACATTTGGAATGGGATTTGCAGCC